TGTATTAAAATTAATAAGTATTATAATTATAATTAGTTTTATAATTAATTGATTACTAATTGTGCTTGTTCTTTTCTTTACAGGTCTAGTATCGATGAAGCAATAATTTGTGATTTATTATTATCAAATAATATTCTAACATCAGATTCCGGAAGTTTTGCAGCCAGGAAACAAAAGGTAGCAATTTATATTTTAATTTTATTTAATTCCATATATTTGTGCCCATGTATTTATTTAAAAATACATTTAGAGTTTTTAGATAAATAAATAAATATGTATATGTAAATAGATATACACATATACATATAAATATATGCAGTAATACTCCGCTTGTGTTACATTAGCATGTTAATAATGAGGTTAGGTAAAGTTGGATAGAAAATTGCTTATTAAAGTTAAAATCAAGTTCAAAAATTAAATACACTCATAAAAAAATTAATTCAGGTGACGATTGTTTTTTGAAACAATAGGTTGATTACTGGGTTACCTCCTCTCTTGTTTTTGAACTTCTTTCATAGATTTCATCCGTTGACGGATGATTTATAATTTCAATCATATTTCGGACAAAGACCTATTTACAAACAACATTTAAAGTTCTTTTTGCTCTTTTTAGAAATAACTATCAATATTTATGTATTTTTCTCTTCCTATTTTTTTTAAATAAAACGTTTTTTAAATTTTTTGAGAATTTGAAAATTTTTAAAATAATCGTTTTTTTTCTAAAAATATTTGAAAAACTCGTTTTTTTAATTTTCATATTTTTGAAAATGATAAATTTTCAAAATTATGAATAAATTATAACACATACACACACATACATCCATTTTTTCTAAGTTATGCCAAAATATTCTGAAGGTTTTGAAACGAAAAGATATACAAAATTTTTTGTTTTCGATTTTTTTGTGATTACTATAACTTACCCTACGGGAAGTTAAAAATTGTATTCAAAATTAAAATAAAATCGAGAAAAACTGTATTTTTCAAAATTTCAAAAGTCTACGAAAATGCTGGGTTGTGCCATCAAATGTTTATACACATATATATTCACGATGTCTCTTATCTTGAATATTATTATATATAGTTGAAATATGAGTATTAATTCATAAGTGTACAATAACTTTCGTCGCCTAATTTATAAGCTCTTACACTCCGACCTATGTACTTGTCTATTTCAAACTATTTAAAACGATTGTTATTGAACATTTATACATTTTCATTGATTTTTGATTATTTTTATTTTTTGAATGTTTAATTACGGTACGGAATTTTTCAACAATTTGCCTTAAGGCACGATGCCATGCACCACTAGTTCGAAAATTGGTTAATTTGTTGAACAAGAATATTTATTTTATTTTATGATCGATAAAATAACATTTTATCATTGTTTTGCCAGACAATTTCAATAATTGCGCAAACTGTTTATCTCTTTCTCGTATTACTTTATTAATTTAATACATAAAAAATATCTCTTTAGTGGTACATTATTTGGCAGGTATTTTTGAAGGTATCAGTTATAACAAATTCCTGTAATTCTAAAATAATAATCGTTAATTTTTGTTCATTTGATTGGGATTACACTCTTCATAATATGCATTTTACAGTACTTTCATAATAGAGAATCCTTTTGTAGCAAAGCGAAAAATTAAAAATAAAACATGTAAGGATCCACTGTGGTGGTGCGACTGTTATTAAATAGTAATTAAGTTTAATTTCATATTCAAAGTCTATGGATATATTAAACCTTCGTAGACAAAATATTTCTCTCCAAATTACATACAGCGAGTTTAGTGTTTTACCGATCCGAAACAGATGCCACAATTTTCTCGTCAAAAATATTATTAATTATGTATAAAATGACATACTAGCTTTTTGTAAATTTTCCTGTGTATAATTCAACTAATGTATAGATGCTGGTAATTATGCATCACATGTAATTATATACATATTATATATCTTATAAAGTGCTGCACATATTTAGTTTTTAATTTTGAGCAAACTCATATATATTTCAATTCGGATCAATGTTTTAATTAGTAAATTGCTCATCTAAATTTTATATCTCTGACTGACTGTCTCATAAACGTTACCATAAACTGATTAGTTTTAGGTAAAAATCTACCGAGCCGTTTTCTTGTAATTAACTGTTGCAAAAAAATGGAGCCGATTTTTATGGAACTTTTTTTTTGGAGATATTTATCATGGTCTTATAGAACTTACTGAAATATTGCGGCTTTACGACAAGTAATTTGATTTTAAAAATTCATCAAAGAGAAAATGAGTAGTTTTTGTGACGTTTGTTAAAATTAAAGTCCTACGGAAACTGGTTCAATTAAAAATTATTGATTTTTGAAAATTTGCTTTTAGAAAAAAAAATACTCCGATTAACGTTCGTTTTCAATTATGTGTAATAAATCCTCTCGGAATAATTTTAATCACTCATAAATTAATTTATTTTTTATTGATTAAGTCGATTATTTACACATATCGGGAAGTCCATGTAACTTGCCTCAAGGCAAAATACCAATACCAACTAGTTTAATTATTGGATGACTTCCCAAAAACACTTTATGATATATATTTCACCATCTAAAAAAAAAACCTCACGGTTTACAAAATACCAATTCATGCTTTATAAGTACACTTTCAAACAATGTATCCAGCATTATCAATTTTTCCAGCGCGCATTCAATATAAGGCAAAAGTTTTTAATTTATTTTATTAATATGATTCCCCTTATATGTATAACTAATTTAAACATCTCCCGAATTGCTTCCACAGAAAAATAATTAAACAAATCTGAGCGCACGAAGCCAATATCCAAAGCGTCAATCAAACTGGCGAACGAATCTATTATTATTTATAATCGGCGCTGCCCACGCTCGCGCCTTGTCGAGTTAAATGCCGGAATGGTACTATGTATAATACAATGGGCAAAGTATTCCTGATTACTAAAAATAT